TTTCGTGCAGCCACAATGTAGTCAGTAACCCCCTCCCAGTTCCTTGTAGGGAACTACGGGAAGGGGAAGGGGCAGGATGGCCCAGACAAAGGAAACTGCCCTTGCGCCGGGAGCTCGGGCCCTTCTGTGCCACCTTCCGTGGTGACTCCCTTGAATGGGACAGGTGGAACCTCAGGTGGTAGAAAAGCGAAAACCAGGTCAGCAGACTCAAACTCAGCACCCCTAGAAGTGGAGGCTTGGTCAGGACGCGACCTCTTGGTCCTGCGCTTCTGGTTGCCGGACAGAAGGCGGAGTGCGTCAACACTAGACATGATGGCTGCCAAAAAATCACAAGGTATTAGTCCAGTAAAAAAAAAAAAAAAGAAATTTTTTTACAAAGCACTACGCGACCTAAAAGGCAACCTACCCGGGCTCAGACTAGCCTGCACGAGCTTTTCCTCGGTCAAGTAGTTCGACCAATGGAAGCCAACTACTGCCCAGGATTGCAGCGTTTTTCGTACTTCGGGGTCCAACTCAACCCCTGAATCCTGGATGGCGGCCCTCCAGTGGGAAGGGCCACCCTTCAGGGCTGCGAACAATAAAATAGTCTCGCTTCCAGGCCGGGATCCTGTTTGGCAGCTCTTATAAGAGCTTCAAGCCGCGACGGGGTGAAAAACAGTAGGAACACCTTTCTGGAGGCGCTCCGGGAGAAGCATTCTTGATGCAGAGGATGGTGGAAAGAATGTCAAAGTTAAGGGGAAGACAGTACTCATAAAATAAAGAGATAGTCCCAACTACATTGTGAATGGAGTTGGGGTGAAGCTGGTCAACAGTGACGTTAAAGTGATTCAAAACCTCCACTATCAAAGGGTGCAGAGTAAGACGGAGGCCAGCAATGAGCTGCTCTTGGAAAATCACTATCTCATCGGGACAGTGCTCCCAGGGATAGTTACCGGAAGGGAGACTATAGACGAGGTCTCTAGGGAGGTTAAATTGGAGAACTAAGGTCCTAAGTCTCTCCATTGACATGGAGGAGGGACCAAAGCTATCTGGCTCCCTGCCCCGAGAGGTAGAAGTAGTTTCGCCCGAGTCCTCCCGAGCTTCCAGAGCCTGCCCCCAAGCTCCCCCTAAGCTCGAGGGGGCATCATCTTGGTCCTCACCCTGGGAAAAGACGTGGTACTAATACCCAGACATACTGACAAAATGATGAGACTCACTAGGGAAGAAATAAACCGAAAAGACGGTGTGAGCAGAAGAAGAGCTCGGACAACTAGATGAAGACGTGACCTCAGACTCCGAAGGCAAGGCAAGTTAGCGTAAAAGAAGTGAGGATTGGGGCCCTCCTATTTATAGCCACTGTGCCCTCAAATCGACAGCTCGGATTGAAACAGATCTGACGGTTCGTAGTCAAGCTGACCGCACGACTTCTGAAACCGAAATGTGACTGGCTGCACGTCTCCCATGATTAAATTAATGACGGTTGCATGTCTTCCGGAACTGAGAGCCGCTTCTACACGTTCTTTTTGGCACTCAAAAGGTCCAGAGAGCCCCTGACTTTTGTGCGCGCATTTAATGCAATTAGTCAATCATGTTTGAACTTTGGGTCGAATCCACCCGTCACCCTTCATGAAATCCTCACGCTAAGGTAGCACACTTAGCCCGAGGAGTGGGGGGCAATTGATGGAGGGTGATTTGACCCGACCCCTTGAGATGGTGACACATGGACATGACTCAGCACAAGTAACAGCTCAGCACAACGGCCTCACCGCGACTAAGTAACGAGCTCGCAGGACAGCTCGCTTCGCCATAGCTCGTCATAGGGTGAGCTCGCTACAGCGCGAGCTCAAGAATCCCAAATGTACTAAAAGGGAATACTCCAAGACAAGTCTACCCCAGATCACGAGATAGGATAACCAGCTCGCTCCAATACTTAGGCAGAAAAACTACCTCAAGGGCCACTTCAAGAGGAATCACCTCGCAATACCCTCAAGAGCTTGCTACAAGGTAGCTCGTGACAGGATAGCTCGCTACTAAGCAACGCGATGTTTTCAGGAAGCTTCTATCTGACAAGACCGTACCCATCAGACTGCGCCACGTCTCCTGACCGACGGCGCAGTCCCTGCCAGCCCAACAAGTCTGCGCCCACGTCTCTTGACAAGTGGTGGCGTGTCTGTCCTTCCGGGACGTGTCACTCATCCGATTGGGTAGTACACTGCAACGGTTACCTGCGCAGCCCTAGCAGATAACGGCCGCGACAGAGGTCCAATGGCGGTTACGCCCGATTTGACAAGAATGCTCATATATAAGAGCCCCCTAGTTGAAGGGAAGGGCTCTCTCTTGAATATCTGATATCTTATCTTGAATATCTCGAACTTTCTCTCGAGCTAACTCAGTGATCTAGTGCGACCTACACTCTTAGCCTTTTTTCCGCTTTTTACTACTTTCTCCAGCGTTCTAACTTAAGCATCAGAGTATTCCCACCGGGCAAGTCTCCCGGGAATCCTTCACTGCTTTCTTCTCAGGTACCATCATCGCCAGCGAGGAGGCAGTCAGTTGCTAGTTAGGAATGCCCAGATTACGCAGCATCAGTTGTCTTCCCTAAATTTTTGAGAAACTCGACAAAAACCTCTATTCTGTCACTGATCCAGGCGAAAAACCTTTGCTGATGCATTAATTTTTTAAATACCAATTTTACCCTTCTGTCACTATCAAACATCACCAATAAAAGGCATGTCATTCCCTCAGTTGGTCAATCTTGTCAGAGGATTGGAAATTGGGTACATGGTGAGCAACTTGGAGAAGAATTCGTGAAGGTCAGGAGGTATGGACTCTTTGGTTTCAAAGCGTCACTCAGCAGCAAGGGATGTGGCACGGAGGAATTCTTTCTGGGCATGGAGCCTGGCAAGGGATCTTGACCTCCCAAAGCTCCCATCTTGACCTCCCAAAGCTCCCATCTTTTCCTACAACTGTCGGAGGATCGAGGGTCTTCTCTTTTCTTCCTCTGTCAAACTAGAACCATCTCTTCTTCTACTCTTCTTCTCCAGGATTAGGGCCGCACTGTGAGATATAGGTTTCCATAGTGAAAGGAAAGATGCATGAATGCTCCCCTCTCACAAGCCAATCCACAGAAATGAAAACCAACCCGAGTTCACCTAGGCTTTAACCCATTAATAAACAAAACAAATTCAGTTTCAGACCCTACCAGGTTCAACAGAAAGCAAAAGGTATCCAAGCTTTTCCAAAACCAAACCTCTGTTTCAAAAATCAAAGTCTTGGTGCAAGGAGGGAAGATGGCAGAGATTCAACAACATTCCCAAACTTTAATCGGGCCGAGGGGTCTTTACTTTTTATCCAAAATATTCAAAACATGAGAAATGAAAAGGAAAAAGAGAAAGGATAGAAATCTGATGAAGCAAAAAGGAAAATAGTAAGAAGGACATCTGAGTCCAACCCAACCTTCAACCGTAGTTTCATATTTGCGCAATGGATACAATCTGCTCATGGTMAGACTTCATATGGGTTCGATGTACTTTTATCTTCAACGACTGGCCCAGCATTCAATGCGGGTCGAAGCATATGGTTGCCTGGCTGGTTAAATGCTATTAATGAGAATAGTAATTCACTATTCTTAACAATAGGTCCGGGAGACTTCTTGCTTCATCATGCTATTGCTCTAGGTTTACATACATCTACATTGATCTTAGTAAAAGGTGCTTTAGTAAAAGGTGCTTTAGATGCACGTGGTTCCAAGTTAATGTCAGATAAAAAGGATTTCGGTTATAATTTTCCTTGTGACGGTCTGGGATGATAAAACCAAGGTTTAAAATTTCGATATGTATCTTTGAAAAATAAATACGAGATATGTATGGAAATTGAACGTTTYGTCTTTTTTCTATGTGTATCAGACCCGTATCGGAGTGTATYGGAGACGTATTAGGGTATATCGGGGATGTATCAGTAGCGTATTGACRAAAAAGATATAGCMAAAAACTGAAAAAAAAAATAAAGGGGAAAAGTAAGCTTCGTTTCTTTGAAATAAGCCTTCTTTCATCCCCCAAATGACTATAAAACTCCAAACCTCATTCCTAGAGTGCTAGATTTGCAAAAAAAAATTACAAGAAATAAGTGTGAATCGTTAATTTTTTTTAATTTTTTTCAAATTTTGAAAAAATATGGCAAAAATAGGTAAATTTGTTCAATTTTTTATAATATCTTGTGATTTCTTTTTTTTCTTAAATGTTTAAATTTATGTTGATCTACATTTCTTACATTCAAAATGATAATATGGAAATTTCATGAAGATATTTGGGGAAAATATAAATTAATAAAAAAATTGAAAATGTAGTTTTTCTCTGCTTATAAAGACTAAATATGTTTTAGATCTATGGATTTATCTATCATATCCATAGAGCAATTGAAATTTCTTCTTTAGTATTTTTTTGATTTTTTATATTTTAGAATTAAAAAATAAATAATAATTAATTATATTTTATCATTTGATCACAATAGTTGAATATATTATAATTCTATGGATGATCTTTTATATCCACAGACCAATTGAAATTTCTTATTTAATAATTATTTTTTTATTTTTAGAAATAAAAATTAATTAATTAATTAATTATATTTTATGATTTCATCACAATGATTGAATATATTATAGTTCTATGGATGATCTATCATATCCACAAAGAAATTGAATTTTCTTCTTTAATAACTATTTTTTGAATAATTATATAATGTTTATTTATTTTTTTATAATTTTTGAAAATAAATAATAAATAATTATTGATTATATTTTCACTTAGAAGTTGTGCCAATGCATGTTTTATGACTGGATAGGATAATTGAGTTTTTCCCATCCCATAAAACATTAAAACTTAAGAATTATAATTTATAAATTATAGTTAAGCATAGGATTTTTAATGAAATTATAATTACCTACAATATATTTCTCTATAAAACCATTAAAATATATTAATTTAATGTATATACACCTCATTGAGGTCTTATACTTAGTATTATTGATGTATTTTTATGATTCATTAAAGTATTTATAGTATTTCCAAACGTATCTATGTGTATCTTAGTTTTTCTCCGATACGCATGCATATTCAAGGTGTATCCCGATACGTCTCTTAAAATTGCATTTTCGATACACTTGATGTTTTTGATACTTTGAATCTTGCATATATGTGAAGATGATGGCGCCAGTGCCCTTGCCGCGTGGGTGGTCAATGACATTTTCCTCTCTAGGGCAATGATAAAAGGGTAAATTTGGTATTTAAAAAAATAATGCATCAGTTGACGTCAATAATAAAGGGGAAATTTTTGTTGAGTTTCTCAAAAATTTATGGGAGATATTTGTTATCCTTTTTTTTATAATAATTATTAATTTCTAAATCCCGTCCAATGCATGGATAGTAGATATAGATAACCTTTCCATATCATTACCTTTTTTTGAATTTGATATCATGAGGTCCAGTTTTATTACTGACATAGTGACATATCACCTCGACTGTATCAATAAATAACATTAAATGACGAAAATATCCCTGAATTTAATGATTCAATTATTAATAACCGAAAATAGTGGATCCGTTACAGAGTCAACCATACGAAGCATTTAAATTCGGGTCGGGTCGGGCATCAGAAGGCCGCCTATGACTATGAATGGGATTTTAAGTTTTAAAAATGCCAACCTAGACCCATCCCAATGTCCCAAACCCATTTGACTTGCTCTTTTAAACCAATAAATCTATAACTATACTACTTTAAAAAGCATCAATGGCTTCAAGAATATTTTTGGAATTTTCTAAAGACAAAATTTATCCCTCTATATTTAAATTTATTGATAAAAAATAAGGGCAAATAAGGTAATTGGTTCTTGATATTAAATGAGTTTAAAAGATATAATTTTAAGATATTCAATGCATTCAATTCTCTCTCATTAAATCTAAAAACATTTAAGTTATTAACTTGCATTCATGTTCATTGAATCATATATTTAAGTATATCTACCTAACAAAAATAGTGTGTTCATCTAGGWGATGGTAAAAAATTAAATCATTTTGGGTCAAATGGATCAATCCATGTTGCCACAATTAAATAATAAAATTACAAAAATAGAAATTAAAAAATTGTAAACATTTTTTAACATACATATTGAACAATAATAAGTATGATAAATAAGAAATGTTTTTATTAATGATGAAAATGGAATGAAAATTTAAAACCAATTAGAAATAAAAATATTTTCCTATTCTACTCATTAAATCCTATATTTAAGATATATTTTTCTCATCATTAAATTTTTGTAATTAATTCCAAAATATTAATTTTAGTAGTATAAAAATAAATATTTTAAAAACAAAACAATTTTCTTCCATCCCGGTGGTGGGAAAGAAATTCGACCATTTGGGGTCAAATGGATTAATAAATAATGCCATAATTAAATAATAAAAAGTTAAAATAAATAACTATGAATTGTAAGAAATGTTTTTATTAATGAAAATGGAATGCTAAATTTAAAATCTAACTAGAAATGAAATGATATCATAGTAAAATAATAAAATTTTTAATAATAGAAAACACAAAGAATCACAAAAATAAAAAAAATATAAAGAAATTTTCAGCACACACACACACATACACATATATATATATATATATATACATATATTTATAAAAAATAAAATATTAGGCACATCTCTAATATTATGCATTCATTATATTGAAGAAAAATAAGTTTTATACATAAGAAATAATTTTATCAATGATGGAAATGTAATACAAAATTTAATGTCAATGTAGAAATCAAACTATTTTTCTTTTTAAATGGTGGGTTAGTGTATTGAGTCAAATGATAGAACAGGCAAACAAAAATTAAGTGAGATAAGTAAAAAACATTTTATATAATGTAAATGAACTATATAATTTAAAGAGAAAATTATAGTTAAAGTTGGTTGTACATTTTAGGTTATGTTGCAGGTTGGTCTAGAAACCAACAAAACTCTGACAACTGGTTCTACATTTTAAATTATAAAAAACAATGCGTCATGTCATCGGAGGCTTATGTAGTTATTGCCAACATGGGACTCTTAGTCCATGTTGGACACAACAAAAAGCCTATACCGAAAATAGGTTTCCAATTTCTCTCCCACTCCATTTGTCTCTTGATCTCCCTCCCTTCTCTCTCACTCTCATAGTTATCTCTCGATCTCTCACTCCCTCTATCTCTCCCAATCTTTCAACTTTGGTCTATAGCCAAATCAAAATCTCTCTTTCTTTCTCTCTATATCGTTCTCCCTCAATCTTTCATTTTCTTCTCCCTCACTCTCCCTCTTGATCAATATCTCCTTCTCCCTCAATCTCTATCATTTTCTAGTTGGTGTAAATTTCGTAGCCAAGAGTTTCTTGTAAATTTTTATCAAATTGGTGTAATGATTTTTGAACCATACCAAGTTGATCTCATGTTCTTTTATACAATCTGATTAATACCATATATGTGTGTAAGAAAATTAGAAAAAAGAACGAGAGAGGGAGTGGGAGATAAACTGAGGGAGAATGATAGAAATTAAGGAAGAAAGAGAATGAGAGAAATTGATGGAGAACGATAAGTAGAGAGAGAACGAGAGAAATTGATATAGATAACATAAATACAGAAACCAAAAATCATTTTTATTTATTTTCAAATCACACAGTCGTTGAGCAGATAAAAATGACTCTGAGAGTGAGAGTGTGAGGGAAATTGAGAGAGAGAGAGAGAGAGAGAGAAAAGAGTAAAAACCCTTTTTTTATTTTTCTAATCACCCAACATTAAAGGGCAATTTCAGTGTAAGCTTTTTGTTGTGTCTAATATGGATTAAGGGTCCCATGTTGGCAACAACCACATAAGCCTCCAATGACATGGCGAGGGTTTTTATAATTTGAAATGTAGAGCCCGTTGTCAAAGTTTTGTTGCTTTATGGACCAACTTATAGCATAATTTTAAATGTACAACTAGCCCGGGTTGCATTTTTCCCTAATTTGAAACTAATCCAAAAGCAAAGCTATTTTCTTATCTAAATGGTGGGTCAATGGTCYAATTTTTCAAAGAAACCCATGATGTCATAATTGAGTAATAAATATTTAAAAAATGATAAAACACCAAAAATGAAAATGCATAGAATTTTGTCAAAAACATTTGAAAACATTTCTCATGTTATATATTTATCATATTAAATAAAATAATTGTTAAAATAAAATTTATTTTTATTTATGATAAAAATGTAATATAAAATTTAATAACAACAACAACAATAATAATAATTATCATTTGCTATAAGCATTTAAGTTTATTTTTAATCATATTATTACTTTTGTTAATTTTCAATTTTTATCTTAACTATGATATATTTAAAATTCAAATAATTAATATGAAGAAAAATTTACCAAATGCAATGCATGTACTTAATTACTAATAATAATATTGTATACGTAACAGCAGCCTGTTTGGCTGTTTCTTCAAAAACCCGATTGATAACATTCATTTAGGATCCGACCCGACCATTGAATCATGTCGAGGTCACAAAACATTACAACCATATCTTAACTGTGCAAATGGTCAGGATCTTCTGGTCGGGTCAAGTTGTGGTCCCGCCTTTTGACTTTCCGTCCTCGTGGCAAAGTAGATACTAATGTCATTAAATAATAACTAATGGATATAAGAGGGAGAGGAATCATCTCGTGGCCATTCTCGTTTTAGGGAAAGCAATTAAGCAACCACAGACTGAAGAGAGAGAGAGAGAGGGAGAGAGTCCAGAACAAAGCATAGCATTGCTTGCCCATGGGCTCTCTCTTTGAAGGCTTACCTACAACAGCAATGGCAACGAAGAAAGGTTCATCAATGGCTCCATTTACACTAGTTTATCTTCTCGTGTTTCATATTCTCTGCAATTCGGCGTCAGCAGGTCCAACAAGACGTTGGTGGTTCTAGTAATGGAGAACCGATCATTTGATCACATGCTCGGATGGATGAAACGAATCAACCCACAGATTAATGGCGTCGACGGCACTGAATCCAATCTACTCTCCACCACCGATCCCAACTCCCCTCGTTTTTTCTTCAAGGACCAATCCCACTACGTCGACCCAGATCCCGGCCACTCCTTCCAAGCCATCCGCGAGCAAATCTTTGGCTCCAACGACACCTCCGCCGTCCCTCCGCCGATGAACGGCTTCGCCCAGCAAGCCTTCGCCATGACTAACTCCACCAACATGTCCGAAAGCGTCATGAACGGCTTCAACCCCGATATGGTCGCAGTCTACAAATCCCTGGTCACTGAGTTCGCCGTCTTCGATCGGTGGTTCGCGGCGGTCCCGTCCTCCACCCAGCCCAACAGACTCTTCGTTCACTCTGCAACCTCTGGTGGCGCCACCAGCAACAATCCAAGCCTACTCATTAAGGGGTACCCACAAAGAACAATCTTCGAAAACATCCACGACGCGGGCCTTTCGTTTGGAATTTACTTCCAAAACATCCCGGCAACACTGTTCTACAGAAACCTAAGGAAGCTCAAGTACTTAACCAAGTTCCATCCATACGATTTATTCTTCAAGAGCCATGCGAAGGCCGGGAAGTTGCCGAATTATGTAGTGATTGAGCAGCGATACATAGACACGAAGTTGTGGCCGGCGAACGACGACCACCCGTCGCACGATGTGTATCAGGGACAGATGTTTGTGAAGGAGGTGTACGAGACGTTAAGGGCGAGCCCGCAATGGAATGAGACGTTGCTTGTGATTACGTACGACGAACACGGTGGGTTCTACGACCATGTGCCGACGCCGGTGACAGGTGTACCTAGCCCGGATGGGATTGTTGGGCCGGAACCATTCTTGTTTCGGTTCGACCGCCTCGGAGTTCGGGTTCCTACTATCATGGTCTCACCTTGGATTGAAAAAGGGACTGGTACATCCGTCACTATCCTTTGCCACGTGGCAAATTCGTTTCATCCTACGTCGTTGGTGACGAAGGAAAAATCTAGCTTGCTTCATCGGACTTTAATATTAGAGACCTAATCTGCTTGCTACACACATAGGGTGCCTCACCCTCGATGCATGATGAGATGTACCTGTTAGATCGGTGTGAGGCGCCCAATGTGAGGAGCAGATTCCAATTCTTTTAATTAGTGAGACACTGAGGCAATGGCACTATGGCAATTGGCAAGTCTTGAATTCTCTGAACCCGATCGGGTTGAACAAAAAAATCCACCCAGACTGACCGGGTTCAGTCTTGAATTCTAGTAGGTGCATTACATTAGCGAAGCTCGCTAGAGGGGGGGTTGTGGTACTTGTAAGGAGTCCGAATCTGCTAACCACAAATGACAATTCGTTGCTGGCCACGTTCGCCCAGCTACACATCTACAACATCGGTTGTATCTTACATCACCAATATTTATGAAGTGCAGCTGGATGAGCTTGACTAGCAAGGCAGCAACGTTGTGATCAGCAGATGAGAACTCTGTGATAATGGTTCAATGACTGAAGTTAATTACTCATTTTCTTTTAGTTTAATGTATAAAAGAAATGAAATGTTAAAGGGTATACCAATCGACCAATCGTGTCCCGATCCTACTCACAAGAACTCCATCGACAGATACCTACAAAATATTACAGCTGTGTGTGCAGAAACATCTCCCATACATAATAACCTAAATGTGTGGCTGCGATATCATGCGGGTAACGTGGATAGATGTTCTCGTGGGTAGTAAATCCGTGCTCATACCAATTAACCTAACTTTATCTTCGCTCATCAACAAATTCACAACTGTTTTAATAACTTCTTCAGTAAAAGGTCATTTAGTTCAGCCAGCTGTAATCGAACGGAGTCCACTAATGTTATGTTTGGTTTGAAGGAAAATGTAGGGAAAAGAAAGGAAAAGTAAGGAAACTTTTACAAATCTTATATAAGATTTTCTGTCTTTTCTTTCCTTTCCCACTTTTTTCCTTCAAACCAAACATAGCCTAAAGGGTGGTAGTTACATTCTTTCCTTCCGTGTAACATGTAACACTAGAGTGGTCCAAAATTGAGATAAACTTCTCAAGCTTGAAGTGGTGGAGATGTAGGGGCGAAAGTCGGGTGGTCTGGACCAGGTTTTACCTGAATCCAAGCCCAATCTTGTTCCACAAAAACAAAAATGAAGTTCAATGTTAAAATTTGATACATTTGGGTTGGATTTGAGCTCGAGCTAAGCTCGGGTTGATCAATCAATACACAAAAATTAATATAAAAGCATGGATGTGTATGCATTTGACCTGTTCACAGATCGGGCGAGCTAGGTTTACACTATGCTTTATGTTTTTATTAACAGGAAATGTTCATGTTCGAGCCTAAAACCAGCCTGATAACCGGGCCTATATTTTGAGCCCAAATGCAACCCTTATATATAGGGGTGAGCATTATTCGGTTAAAACCAAAAAACCGAACTGAAAATTTTGGTTTCGGTTTTTTGGATCAGTTAATTCGGTTTTTGGAAATTTTGGTTTTCAGTTTCGGTTTTCAAAATTAAAAATTCGGTTATCCGAAAAAACCAAATTAACCAAAACTCATTATATAATATACAATATATAACATATAACATATAATATGCCATATATTTATATATTAATATATTATATATAGTATATTATAATGAAATTAAGTTTATACAATATTTTTATGTTAATGAAATTTGGTTTTAACATAAATAACCAAAAACCAAACTGAAAATTTTGGTTTCGGTTATTTCAGTTTTCTTGTAATTTGGTTTTGGTTCGATTTTTATTTTTTATTTTTTTTTTATAAAATTTCAGTTTATTCAGTTTGGTTTTTAACTGAATAAACTGAATGCTCACCCCTGTTAATCAATGTTTTTATTAAATGTGTAATATTAGCGGACCAGACTAAAAGAAAGTCCAAACTTGAGCCCGTGGGCCTAAAGTTTTGTTTGAGCCTGATAAATAATGGGTTGGATTGATCCAACCCGTTGGGCTACCTGGCCCATGAACAGGTCTAATATGCATATAATATATATGCATGATTTGAATCCAGATCTTCTAATCACAATACATTGCTGGCCACATTTACCCAACCACATATCGGGAATATCAGTGATATAAAGTACAAAAGATGTTCCCAATGTGCAGCTGGGTAAACGTGCCCAGCAATGTCTTGTGTTCAGCATACTCAAATTGATGTTTCCAGTGGGCACCACTCTCAARTTGGTATACAGGCAGTGCTTAGGCTACTACCTAATGTATATGCCTGAGCCGGAAAATAAAAGAGCCCAAATTTTTCGGCTCAAGCCTAGACCGAGGGCCGAAAATCTAAACCTAAACCATATAAAATTGCAAATTGGATCGGCCTGGGCTTGGGTTAAACCCATCCAAGTTTCACCCTAAGAAGATGAAAAACCTTCTTCTTGGGCCTTTCAGAAGCAAAAGCCTACAATTCCATAATTTCAAAAACAATTTGGAGTAACAATTGATGATGATGATGATGATGCAGTTGTTCATGGCCCCAATGGGTTTCCATTCTCTACATCAGAGTTCGAGCACTCATCCATACCTGCAACAGTGAAGAAGCTTTTCAACCTCCCCTCTCCCTTCTTAACCAGAAGGGATGAATGGGCCGGCACTTTTGAAGGCATCGTCCAGACAAGAACCGAACCCAGAACTGATTGTCCAGGTTATTCTCTTTTACCTCTGTCCATTCATTTCTATTTTTTTGGCTTTTTAAAGCTCCAAATGGAATAATATATTCTATGCTAGATAATGTATTTCCAATGTTTTCAACTCACAATTGAACCGACTGGTTGGGCCGGTTGATCCATCATCTACCAGTTTTCTTCTAGGTCAGTTAAGTCTATGAGCCATTTTTTTCTAAACATTGTCTCAGTTAATGACTTAGTGACCTTGCCGGTTGAATGGCATAGATTAAACATTAATTCTCTTTTGCTTGTTTTTATATTTTGTATTTTTAGTAATTTCTATCATTTATAATAATATTTTTCATTTATCATACTTTTAATTAATATTATAAATACATAATATTTCTTACAAATTTTTTATATTTTTATTGTTTAATTTATGATATCACTGATTGATCTATTTGACTTGAATAATTGAACAGCTGATTGCCACCCATAGTGAAAAGCACTAGAATCTCCTGAAAGCAAAAATTGTGTATACGCATTGAGAATATTTCTCCATGAATTTAACATACAAATATGCGAGATAATCCCAATGTGAAGATACAATTTTCTTAGGGTCTGTGAACTATTTTTGCTTCAGGAAATTTCAAGAGATATAGGCTTAAGGGAAAAAGCAGTTTTTGGGTCAACTTTTAAAATATCTTTTAAAGTATAAACCTAATAGGGAGAAATACTTGCCTGTACCTTCGATGATTTTTCAAGAACTGTAACGATTGGAAGATCATAACAAGTGTGTTGAGGCTGGTTTTACTCAAGAGTATATGCTCATAATGGATTTTTCTAAATATAACTAAGAGTTTTCACATGTTCTCTTCTCATTAATTCACCATTAAATATTTCTCTCATTTACATGATATTAATTCCACTAGTTATTATTTTTATAATTAAAAAAAGGGTAATTTGCTGAAACTTTCCCTGAAGTTTGGTAATTGCATTCACCTCCCTTGAACTTTTTCACACAACTTCAAGTAGACATCTTTGGTTAAAAATACCCATACAGTTATTATTGAGGCTGGTTTCTTTCTACAGTAAAAACAATACAAACTTTATGAATAACAAAAAAAAAAAGAGTTTAAAGTTGCAGCTTTACCTTTGAGCAGTTGATATGAAGGGAAAATTTGAAAATAAATCATTTCGGAAAAAGAGATTGAAAGGGTTTGGAATAGTGGTTAATTGGAAAATAAACATTTTAGTCAAAAATCACTACATGGGTATTTTAGATATTTTCATGCCTCTTGTTAGAGGATTCTAACAGAGGGGATCTACTTGCAACTGTGTCGAAAAATTCAGAAGTGATTGCAATTAATAAACTTCAGGGAAGGTCAAAAACCACTTTAGAGGAGGACTTAGCAATTTATCCTGAAAAACTTCACTAGTTATTTACACCAAGAAGATTAAAATTTTGTCACATTATCGATCGGTGACCTCCTGAACTGGTTTGAAAACAAAAACTGAAAAAAGCCGCTAAAGATCTCTCTCTCTCTTTTATTCATACTATTTCTTTCCACTCATTAATGCACAATTAACCTTCATGTTACAAAAAGAAACACGGAATAAAATTCAAGCCTAAGTATCTTGGTTCGGAAGCAAAAATCTGTGGTTATTCTTTAATTACTTGTCATAACTCATAATTAAGTGAGTTCTGGATTTTAACTTACATTTTCTCTTTTTAGGTCATGTATATCAGCGAAATTAAAAAATAAAATAAACAATTATTAAAGTTTATATATTTATAAATATTAATAAAAATTATATTTGTTTTCTAAAAATTAAGATATGAATGTCACCCCTGTCTTGAAGTATGTGCCTTGTGCTTTTTTATGTTTATATACCTTATTTATAGTCATTTAACACCTAGATTTAGTGTCATTGATGTATTTTTTTTAAGATTTATTTGAGCTTTCCTAGCAAATCTAGGGATGACAACAAGTAGTGTACCTATGAAAAATGCCCTTCTCAGTTCCAAACCTATCAATGCACCCTTGATCCTAAACCCATTTAATTTTTTCTCCTAATTTCCCAAACTTGTCCCATTCCAAACATGTCATCAGATAAGTGAAATGCGATATGATGTCTTTCTTAAGCAAACATGGTATGATAGGCTAGTGGTGAAGATATTTACAATGGGACACAAGGGGAAATATTTGAATTCTCTCTTAACCTTTTTTACTATATAGATTATTTCTTATAAAACATAAAGGATATGTTTATTAGGGTTTGACTATGATACTAGCTAGAAGAACTTATAACCAATCAACTAATATAAAAAAAATGGCAACAGATCATGTCTTTTATTAAAATTCAGAGGGGTTTTCAATTGGTAAAACTCTTTTAGTATCAAGTTTTCTTAACATCATAGATTTCCCATACTTAATAATATATGCATGGGTTTATAATATATACATGGATTAATAATTAGGTAAACCTAACGACAAAAACCCAACCCATTCCATACCCTACTTAGGGTTTTAACCTAAAATCTAAAACTTGTTGCAAACCCTATAGGGTTTTGATAAACAGGCCAGTCCTATTAGGATCGGGATGGGTCAGATACCCAAAAATTCCCACAAAATTGCCATCCTAAGCATATCATTATATATCCTATTTTTTTATATCCAAACACATGTCTTTTAAAATTTCTTTTTTGATACTCTTTGCATTTTTTATACTTCAAACCTTGAGTATAATACTGTAACTATCACCACAGAACAATTGCCAACTCCGGTCAAGATCAGGCAAGGTGGGCCGAACAAAAATGCGACACCAAGTGAATTCCAACAGGAGCTGCTACAGCTTGCAGCTGTGCTGAAAGGTGAACACATCTTGCCAACTTATCTTGAACATATTGGAAAGCAAATGACTGTGAAGGAGGGGAAGAAGTACATGGATGATGCCGTCAAAAGCTTCTTCGAGGCAGGATTTTCTGCAAAAGGAATGGGTGTGGATGAAGAACAAATTGTGCAAATGAGACCCTCCCTCACCACTAGATCCTCTTCATCTTTATTTTTGAATCCTTAACAAGAAACATAAAATTTTAAGTAGTAGTCCTCAATGACTATTTGAGATCGATGCGTGAAGTTAGTATGCAAAAAGCTTCCCATCAAATACAAACATGCACAAAGAAATAATAGAGAAAGGACTATGTTTTAATTTTTTTTCTATTTTTTTCTTTCTAAGTGGGATGGAATATGTCCAACCCATGGTTTAAATTATAACCCCAAAAATCAAAAGCTAGCTAGTTTAACATATTACACTCACCACTTGGATGAAAGAACAATTTCGCTTTTGGGTCAGTTTTCAAATAAAAGGATTTAATTGTTAAAAATATTGCATATAGATCTACTAATTAGTAGAATTTTATAGCAAAAATGATATAATTAGTAGAATTTATTGGTGAGAAAAAATACCTTAATATAGGATTATGAAGGAGAATGAGAATCAACACCTTAAATATAAAACATATCATGACAGGGAATTGAATGACATCAAAAGAAGTAGTTCAAATTACATTTTTCTGCCATCACAATTAGGGGGACCAGATTTAAAAAATAGGGATATTTTAGTCAAGAAGATAGGTTCCACCAACTTGTTTGTACTTTTAATAGTTGAATGAATTTATTTATTGATGATAAAATTACTTTAAATATAGGATTTAATGAGAAAGAACAGAAGTTAATACCTTAAATATATAACTTAATTATAGGAAACTGAATAAGGTAGAAATTAGTAATAGTTCAAATACATTTTTTGGCCTTGCAATAGAGGAACAAAACACAAAAATAGGGTTATTTTAGTCAAGAAGATAAGTTCCACAAGCCCAAACATACTTTTAATAATATTAGTAAGCATGTAAAAGCTTCAAAAGTGACAATTTTTTATGATAATAATAGTAAATAATATGTTTCCAATTGTTTTATAATTTTTTAATATTGTTATGTCTATAAAAATTATTCTTATTTGTCACGTTTTTTTGTTTAATATGATATTAGAAATGTGCATTTTATTTCCAACATCAATGAAAGCAACTATTATATATGATACTAATTTTTCTTTAATATGATTAATATAAAATCAATATCTATACTACTTTAAAAAGTACGAATAGTCTCAAGACTATTTCTGGAATTTTGTGATGACAAAATTTACCCCTCTATATTTAAATTTATTGATAAAAAATAAGGACAAATAGGGTAATTAGTTATTGATATTAAATGAATTGAAAAGAGTTAATTTTAAGATATTCAATGCATTTAATTATCTCTCATTAAATCCCACATCTAAGGTATTAATTGGCATTCGCCCTTCATTGAATCATATATTTAAGGTTTCTTTGATTCATCTCATCATTAAATTCTATAATTAAATAATACATAATAAATTAATAATTTCAATAACATAAAAACCTATACTTTTAAAATCTACCTAGAAAAAATAGTGTTTTCATCTAGGTGGTGTTAAGAAATTAAACCATTTGGGTCAAAGGGGCCAATCCATGTTGCCACAATTAAATAATAAAATGCAAAAAATATAGAACTTAAAAAAATGGGAGCGTTTTTAAGATAATATATTTGACATATTAAACAATAATAAGTATAATAAACAATGTTTTAAAAACTGACCCGCTTTTGACTTTGGGTCACAGGTCACCAGTTTGACTATCAAGGTCAAATGAGTTAAACTGCTTTGTGTCAACACTATTTGTGTGTGTGTGTGTGTAAAATTACATATTTTATCAATAAATAGTGTAATTATGTTTTACATATATCATAGTTATGTTTTACATATAATGCATATAATATATGTATTATGTTACATTTATTTATGTTTTTAAATTCTGTTTTAAATTTTTTATTTATAAAATATTAAAAATTGCAATTTGGGGCCAAAAAAGGGTTTTTTTATTGCAAAAATAGCAAGGCAAGGCGCATAATGCCCTTGGGATGTATAAATCTTGAAAAGTTACTCAAAATGAAAAAAAAAAGATAACCCTAATCGAACATCAGAGTGCAAAGTTATGCATTCCAAAAGTTTGCACATAATTAAGTGTGCAACCTACAACTCGGTTACTAGGTTGAACGGGTCAATGGTTAAACCAGCCAAGTTAGACGGTTTTTAACTAAAAGGGGGAGTTTCAATAGAACCAAACCTAGAATCATGACCGAGTGATGATTCGAACGGTTCAATCGACCAGGTCAACAACAAGTTGAAAATATTTACGATAAATAAGAAATTTTTTTATTAATGATGGAAATGAAATGTAAAATTTAAAACCAATTGGAAGTAAAACTATTTTCCTATTATCTCTCATTAAATCTCATATCTGAGGTATATTCTCTTATTAAATCTTATATTTAGGATATATTTTTCTCATTATTAAATTGTACTAATTAAATCCACAACATTAATTTTAATAATATAAAAATAAATATTTTGAAAACAAAACCATTTTTTCCCTCTAGGTGGTGGGTAAGCAATTTAACTATTTGGGGTCAAATTTGTTAATAAATAATGCCATAATTAAATAACAAAAAATTAAAATAAATAAAATATATAATCAAAAAAAAAGAACCGGGCATGTCATTATGTTATATATTCATTATATTGAACAGAAATAAGTATGAAATGTAAGAAATATTTTTGTAAATGATGAAAATGGAATGCCAAAATTATAATCAACCTAAAATTGAAATTATATCATAGTCAAATAATAAAATTTTTAAAAATAGAAAATACAAAGAATCACAAAAATAAATATTATACATAAGATATGATGTTATATATTTATAAAAAATAAAATATTGGATACATATATAATATTATACAATCATTATATTAAACAAAAGTAAATATTATACATACGATGTAATTTTATCAATAATGGAAATGTAATACAAAAATGCCAACCTAGAAATCAAACTATTTTTCTTTTTGGTTCATGGGTTATTGGGTTGGGTGAAATGGATTAATGGATGACATAATAGTTTAATAATAAATATTTAAACAATAATAAAAAAGTACAAGTAATCAAAAGAATATATAAAAAAATTTATATATTAATTATGTCAAACAAAAATTAAGTGTGATAAGTAAAAAATTATGTATATAATGTAGATAAAATATATAATTTAAAATTGATCCAAAAGCAAAGCTATTTTCTTATTTAAATGGTGGGTCAAGAATCCAACTCTTCAAAGAAATTCATGATGTCATAATTGAATAATAAATATTTAAAAAAAGATAGAACACAAAAGATAAAAAAGTATAGAGTTTTGTCAAAGACATTTTGGAACATTTGTAATGTTATATAATCATCATATTAAATAAAAATAATTGTTAAAATAAAAATTATTTTTATTTAAGACAGAAATGGAATACAAAATTTAGTAGTAGTAGTAGTAGTAACAATAATTGTTATTGTAATTTAAAATTTCCATAAGTGCACATTTAGTACAAGTATTTAAGTTTATGTTTAACCATGTTGTTACATCTATTAATTTTCAATTTCTATCCTAACTATGATACATCTAAAATTCAAGTAATTAATATAAAAAAAATTCATACGTGCAACACACGTGCTTAATTACTAGTGTTAGAAAAATGCCTAAATGTTTTTTTTTTATAAAATTTTTGTATTACTACATAATGTTTTTTGTGGTTTTTATCTTTTTTTTTGCATTTTTATTTAATTACGATGTCAAGGATTAACACATTTGACTCAAAAGGTTGAATTGTTGACTCGCCACCACAAAAGTAATTTTCATGTTTGGATTAGTTTTAAGTTTATACTTCATTCCAACATCAATAAGAATAATTATTATTTACCACACTTATTTGTCTTTAATATGATTAATATAAAGAAAAAATTTCTTAAACTACCCTTATTGTTTAGCTAATTGACTAGCTCTACCCTTATTATTTAACTATTGTATTAAATTACCCATATTGTTTTTGACAATTGCCATTGCCATTAAATCATAATGGAAATAATGAAATGTCCATTTGGCTCACATAAAAGAGACCTGAGGCCATTTTCAAAAAACAGATCTGAACCACTGGTCATCTGCATTCTCGGCTCTATCGCACAAAAGGGAGATTTGAAGCCGTTTCTAGAAAATAGGTCTAAAGCCATTATTGTTGAGAGAGAGAGAGAAAGAGAGAGAGAGAGAGAGAGAGAGAGAGAGAGAAAGAGAGGGAAGAGTAGACCAATGCTGTGAGTTGTAGTGGCGGTCGTGGAAAACAGTGGTGACAAGAACGAGAGGTAGTAGAGAAAAGAAAGAGAAAAGAAGAGATAGAGAGAAGGAGAAGAGAGAGAGAGAGAGAGGACTGAGAGGTTAAGGGAAAGAGAAGACTGCCGCTGCTGTGAGTTGCAGCGGTGTTTGTGGAAAATAGAGGTGGTGGATTGCTGCTATGAGTTGGCACCAATAAGGATGGTAGACCACCAACCATCCTCATCAGTTTTTCTTAGGCCTGTAATTGGATCGGACTTGGATTGGATTCATCTAAATCTGAGTTTGGTTCAACAGGATGTTAACTACTTCCAACTCCAATTTGAAATCTAATCAAATTGTGTGTAGGGCATCTGAGTTCGAATTTGATCGGATTTTTTTTTCTCAAAGGCACATATCTTTTTTTTGTTTATTTTTTAATTTTATGATTCTAAAATTAAACAAAATAATTCAAGTGACCAATCACCTTTAAGACTTTTAACACTCATTAATACACCATTAACTCTTTCACACACTATCTCTCCGTTTTTCCATTAACTCTTTTAATAATCTCTCCACATTAATTATGCTATTAAATCTCTCCTTCAATTACTTATGCCACTAATCTATATCTATATATTAAAGTGCAATGTGCCTAGGTGGCACTTTTCTGTTTTCTGGTTTATTCTCAAAGTTATTTATTTTTTTGGTTTTTTCTCAAAGGCACATATCTTTCTTCTTTTTCTGTTGAATTTTCTAATTTTAAAATTAAACAAAATAATTCAAGTGACCAATCACCTTTAAAACTTTTAA